TCATCTATCCGAGAAATTAACTTTTAGCATATTCACTTTGCTTTCTTACCAACTCCTCATATACCTAATTTATTTCCATCATAGATCTCCTGCAAATTGCCAAACTAAATATTATTCTACGTTTTTCAGTTTTCAGGTTTTTCCTAACCTCAGGAATAATTTCTATTTCCTTCTCCACCCGCTCTGCAGAAAATCTCCTCTGCCCATATCTCCACAGCAGACCCAGCATTATCCAATGTCTCCTCTCCCCTCTCACCCCTCATCTTCCTCATCACCTTCATGGACACACCAAGTTCTCTTCTTCCTTAAATTTAGCCATTGACTTGGCATCTCCAGTTTTATATCTTCTCATTCACTAACAAAGAAATCTGTTTTTGTCATTGATTTGTGGGCTTGTACTTAGGTCTTCCTCTCTAGCTTTTACAGCTTTTCTAATCAGTGTTTCATTTTCTGCTCCTTGCTTAACATTTTTAATCATATACTCTGCAGTTGCCTTAACTCATCATATCTGCCAATAAAGTCATTACATATTTTGCATAACCAACTCCTACTCACTTCCCTAATTCTAATGCTAGTGCTTTCTTTAACTCGTTCTTCCTGTTCTCCTGTTCCTATGTATATGTTAAACCATATCTAATCTATAATACCTCATGTGTCAAATCCATTCTTCCTCTCCATTTCCAAAATCACCTCTCAGATTCAAGGGCTGACTGTTTCTCACTCAGACTTCTGTGCAGATGAGACATTGCTATATTTAAGGGGACTTTTATCCTGGGAGAGTAACAACTATACTTGCAATAACAATCATTTGTGCTTTTTCAACAGTCATTTTGTTCACTGAGTCATGATAATGCGAGGGAGTTGAATTCTTTGAAAGGAAAACAATAAAAGCCGTAGATAAAGGGGTCTACTGCTGAAATCTTTCTGGGGTTATAATAAAATTTTTTCTTTTTAAAAAATATTTAGAATAAACTTATAAACCGTGACCTTTTGAATGCTTCAAGTTTTTTTCTTTTCTCTTTTTCTTTTCTTTTATCCACTAGCTTTATTGAGATATATTTGACACTCAACATTGTGTAAGTTTAAGGTGCACAATGTGATGATTTGATATACATGATTACCCCAATAAAGTTAGTTAACATATCCATCACCTCGCAGTTACCATATTTTTGTGTGTGGTAAGAGCATTTAAGATCCACTGTCTTAGAAATTTTCAAGTATACAATACAGCATTGTTAATCGTAGTCACCATGCTGTATAGTAGGTTCCCAGAACTTCTTCATCTTATAACTGGAAATTTGTACCGTTTGACCACCATCACCTATTTTCCCCACCCCTCAGCCCATAGCAAGTACCAATCTATTCTCTGTTTCTACGAGCTTAGCTTTTTTTAGATTCCACATGTAAGTGAGATCAGACAGTATTTATCTTTCTCTGTCTGACTTATTTCACTTAACATAATGCCCTCAAGTTTCATCCATGTATAAAATGATAATAAAGTAATACATCCACAAATACTCTAATAATGGACTTGGGAAGAATTATGAAAATCACTGGATCGGGAGACACCAAATATATCATTGAAGCCAAAAATTAAGAGAAGCTTCACAAAGAAAACAGCTGGGGAAGCATGGTAAAAGTGACTGAGAAACATTAATTTTGCTTTCTTTTGGTTTATTTGTTTTTTTGGCTTGGTAATAAGCAAGAATAGAAAGATTTTTCTTCTGAAATAAGATATTTCTTCTCAGATGAGATATTTCTTCTAAGAACATTAAATCTTTTGCCAACCATATTTTTTGTTGGATGTTAGATTTTATGTATACTGTTCTTGGAATAGGACTAATGAGAAAGTAGAGATTAAGGAGGAAATGCAAAAGGTAAATCAGAAGAGAAATAGCCTTCCAGATAAAAGGGTGTTCTGAACACATTTGCTTATCATTCACTTTGAAATCTGCATCAAAATTACCAACACTTGCAAAAATGACGAGAGAAGGATAAGGCATTCAACTGCACTAAAATGAGGTCTCTGCTAATCTAATAAATGGCAGTAGTTTTGACTTTAGTAGAGAACAGCTTGCTAGAACTGCAACTACTCTGCACAATATGGGAGTGATAAGGTTTAGAACAATGCTTCTCAAAGTGTGGTCTCCCACAAGCAGTATCAGCATCACATGAGAACTTGTTAAAAACACACATTCCAGAGCCCACCAAGACTTCCTGATTCGGGAATTCTGGAAGTGGGCTCAGCAATCGATGTATTTTAACATGCTCTGCAGGTGATTCTAAAGGATTTTCCAGTTTGAGAGTGACTGGTCTGGAGACAAGGCAAGTGTGTGAACTGGCACACTGCCACCACTCAGACTCTCTTCTTTCTTGCAGTTCAATTCTTAGGTGATTTTTGGCTGCTAAACCGAGAAGAAAACTATCAGGGCCTATCTAAGTCTTTTGTCTGAAAGGAAATAAGTGCAGAAGGCACTGATAGCACTCACTGTTTTAGAAAGAGCTGGAAGTGGGCGTAGGCTGAAGGAAAGATAGGATCTCTATATGTAGGTACATTTTCACCTATGTTGATCAGTTGAAGTCAATGGCAGTGCTCTGAGAGGCCCCAAACAGCATAAGCGGCATTACTCCACATGGAAATCTGGCTGAGTAGGATCAACTTATTTCTCGTGAGATCTAAGTATTGGAAGCCATTGCAAACATAGAAAACCAACATAATTTGGAGTATGTGATTGTGTCTTTGTGAGGTCATGAGAATGTGAATTGTCATGACTTCCACTGAAAAAATATGGCAACATGAATCAAAGACCTAAAACATATTTATGCCTATTGAGTTAGCAATTCAAGTTATCAAAACTCATCCTGAGGAAAAATTCATGTCAAAATTATATACAAGACATGTATCATCACTTATAATAGCACAATTTAGAAATTACATAAATATCTAACAACAGAAGCTTGGCTACAAAAAAATGATATGTCCATACATTAACATACTAAACATCACAGAAATTAAGTTCACAAATAAATTTTAAATACATAAGATCATCCTTCATATCATAATGTCAAATGGCAAGGCAGGAACCAAATCTAACTATATCTTAGGTTCACAATTGTACTGATGGGTATGTGGAGAGAGAAAGGGAAGAGAAAATATTCCAGAAAGCTAGTTGTGGTTATCTTTAGAAAAAGGAATCAAGTTTTATTTTTATTTTTTAAAATAGTTAAAGTTGCATTTCTCCTAAACTTACTTTGTGATAAGTGATTTATTTTATCACTATCCTCATGTAGTTTTTACTATTTTTATGTTATTTGATTTTATATTACCAATTTCATTTCTCTATTTTTTATGCTTTTCTTATTTAGCTAACCAGGATTCATTTATTTATCTTATTTGAAATTATATTTTTTCATAATTAAGTATGTTTACCAGAGACATTTAGAATAAAGAAAAGAAAAATGAACAAACCAGCAATATGAAAGTTGATTCTACAGGAAATTAAAATAGATATTAATAATTAGAAAATAGGATAAATATTTGCAACATAAAACTTTGAAATAATAGATATTCTGAATGAAAAAGACAGAATTGTAATCAAATATATATTTGAAGAAAACTTGGCAAAATTGAATAAAGAAACTGGCTTTGAAAAGTAAGAACTATTTCAGGCAAACCTAATAAAGAAGTTTCTTTAATCCTTTTCAAATTTCGAGGATAAAGGACTCCAGGAAAATTTTTTTCAGATATATTCACATCAGATTTGTTTCTCCAGATGAATTTCTTCTCCACCCAATGTCAAATGAAAATGGGTCAACACTTACAGAATGTCTGTGGAGGGGGAATATGTCTTATAAGTTTTCAATTTGGATTTTGTTTACATTCAAAAATGAAATATAAACATTCATAGATCTGTGCTCTTACCTGATGAAAGATGTCCAATATGTGATGAATCATCTGCTTTAGCGGACAGTCTATGACTGAACCTGACCAATGACCAGGCACATAGACACCTGTCTGAATGTGGATTATCCCCTCTCATTCTTGCTTTCATCCATCTAGTTCATACCAATGACATCTGCTATGTGTCAGGCACTATTTTAAGCACTGGGGCTATAAGAGTGGATAAGACGAACAAGATCCATGACCTACAGTTCTTATATTCAAGTAGGGAGACAAATGAGTTTAAAAACTACACATAAGTGGCTTGATCATTTTAGGAATATTTAGGACTTATCAAAACTTCTGTCCTGCACTAGATCAAGATAACTTCAAATCACTTTTGTAATATCTGAATAGCATAAGGGTTAAGAGTTGAGACTTTAAATTCAGATTCTTGGTGGCTTTGAGCTGTCACTAAGAACTACTAACAGAGTGACCTTCGGCAAGTTATTTAACCTCTTGGTGCTTCAACAACAAAAGAGACTATCTCTTGAGGTTGTTTCAAAAATTCAATCAGCTACTATATGTAAAGAGCTTATATCAGTGCCAAGAAAAAATAAGCGTTCAGTGATACTGTCGTTTTTATTTAAAGGAGTTTCTAACGTGACACAGTTAAAAGCTAATAATAATAACATGAAAATTCGAAAATACGTTTCCAATGTTGTCTAAAACAACAGTAACAATATAAGGCAACACTTTAATTTCCCTTCTGTTATTTTCCCATCTTGGTCCAAATGGAAAAGAAATGATCTAATACATGGAAAGGTATGAGTGTGCGGGTGGGCTGAAGCAGCTGTTTACCTTTTAGCACAAGCCCATTCATTGCATACAATTTAGTTAACTTACCCTGACATGAATAAATATAATTCCTATGTGATTTGTATGCTCCAAAGAAATGAAATCAAGAGGGTTAAAAATATATCATTTTCACACATCTTGAATCACAGCTTTCCTATTTATCATAAATATAGAGCTAGAAAATTCTACTAATCGCAAAAGCACAGAAAAAGAACAAAGTTCAATATAAATGACAAATAATTTTTTAATAATTAAATCTAGTTCTAAAATTATTTTTCAGAATCAGAGGGTTTGATTCTACATTGAAATCGAAGGAAGAGTTGTGGAGATCTCTGCAAGATTCATCACAAAGTGTCGAAAATGATTACACAAGGCAAAGAGGACCCACAATACAAAAGCAAAGGGACTGGAAGCAGCTTGATGACAGAGTTTTCATAACCGTGTTTATAGTCTTCTGAACTCCAAAGAACATTTAGAAAGCTGATGAATTCTTTAACTCGAATAAGACTTTAAGGAGTCAGCTTCGTGGTTGGCTCAGAAGTCAGACATAGAAGCCTGTGCATGACTATCTAGAAACAAAAAGATCAAGTCAGGGAATGGCTAATGAAACTGGCTTAAAATATTGACAGTTTAGTTCTGGTGGGAAAGGTACTGGATATGGAGGGCAGGGCCTTGGAAAGAGAGGTCTGTGGTGGGGCTGGCTCTGCGGGTAGGAAAATGTGCGGCAGGATAAGTGTAGGGTCCCAAGGATAAGAGTAGCAAAGGAAGTACTACAAAATGTCAGGCTCAGGGATAAGGTGTTGACATCATTCAGTCTTGACTGCCAATGTCAGTTAAAACTCTGCCCTCTGTATATCTTGGGAAAGTGGCTTAACCTCTCTAAGATTATGCACAGTTGATTATGAGGAATAATATTGCTTTAGAGACTGTGAAGAATAAATGAGTTGATGTAGCATGGCCACAGAGTATAATGACTCCCATATAGTAAGCTCCCAATAAGACATAGTTTTTATTACTACTACTATTCCTATTCCTATTATTATTATTTAGGTGAGTGCCATGTTGGAAACAACACTGTGGCCAACTTGCCTCCTTCATAGTGGTTAATGGAAACCAGAAGTGACATATTCATTCCTGAATAAGGACATTTCTCCAAACATTAAATAGAGGTACAGTCTCAGTCCCATTTCTCCAAACATTAAATAGAGGTACAGTCTCAGTCCCCTCTAAAATGTCTTCATTTGAAAATCTGTGATCTGACAACAGTTGTGTAAAGCCTTTTCAGAAGCCAGGCTGGTGGGGGGTCAGCTCTTTAAGGGCTCTGCTAGCAGCTTGGAGGTGGCCTGATAAGATGGTGCAGGGAGCAATTCTATTTCAGAGGAGGTGGTATTTGACAAGCATCTGAAGTCCCAACTTGGCTGTCAGTGAAGTCTAATGATCTCCCTGATTGTTTTCTAACAGCCCTGAGCTGAAGTCCCGATGACTGCTGGCAGGCTGCCTGCACAGGAGCACCAGCACTGCTGCACAGGTGACTGTGCTGTCTCTACTCTCACAGAACACCTGACTCAGCAGTGAGGTCAGCAAAAGATGCGGAGGCAGAAATGAATCACTCCACATTTCTTAAATGAAATAGTTTGTCTTCCCTACCTGTTGTTTCACATTTTTTTCCTCCAAGTTACAATATTCCCTTTCTCATTCTATTTATTTACTGGAATTTTTAATTTCCTTTCCAGAAGAAACATAACACGTCTAGTTATATATCATAATTATGACACTTGGGAGAGATGTAGAGATGTTTTATAGAAAACATTGAACAAGAGCTCACATGTTCTGTGTTAGTGCTAAGGATATGTCGCAAATTTCTTCTTAGGAAATACATGTATTTGAACAGTGGTGGCTTGATTTTGCTGAGCATCTACAGAAACTTCTGGTAATGAACTCTACCACTACTAAATCAGTGTCAAGGATAATCGGAGACACACCAAGTCACTTTGGTGCCTTGACCACGTGATGTAAGAAGCCTCCTCTGTGCTCTCATTTGAAATATTCCCAAAGTTGAAATATCACCTGGTCACAGCTTTTGAAAGCTCAGAAACAAAAAAACAATCAGTTTCATTTAAAAAAGAGAGAACTTGATCAAATTTCAAATGTTCCACTATATGAAATTTACATTTTAATTGCATAAAGTAATTTAGCCAAAATATATATCAACATCAATAGTTTATACCAAATGGAATATTCAATAATGTATTCCACTTTTCTGAATTATTTGATAACATCAGATGATGTGGATTTTTAAAATTTTTTTCACCAGAGTTTTAAAAAATTTTCCTTTCCTGGACCACTATAAAGTCATAGAGCTGTTTCCAGTTGTAATTTGGCAATTTTACACGTCTGAGGTTTTCAACAATATCCACCCCAGATAGCTTTCACTTATCAGAAAGTATCCTTTTTTTTTGGTCACAGATCATGATCTTATCCAATAAGAGGGTCTCTGCTGCTTTGACCCTTAAGCAAAGAGTCCCCACCAACACTCTAGTTGTTTACCATTGATATATGGATGTAGTATAATTGACTACAATTGCCCCAATTTTTTCACCTTTCTTATTGTAAGAAAAGTCCTAGTGAAAAATCTTGTCTATTGTAAGCTCTCAAATTCTTTTACTTTGTGGATTAACTTCTACCATGACTTTTAATTGCTTTTTATTTAAAATCGATATGTAAATCACTTGAGGTACATTTTTGAAATTTATATACACAGAATGAAGTTCTTCTGAATCACAGTGAATGGTTCCTTTGCTAATGGAGTCCTCTGTAGGGGCCAAATGAATGTTCTAGCTGCCCCAGCTTCAATATGTCCCCACTTATATTCAGGTATAAAGGAAGTATTTATAATTTTTCAAAGATAACATACTCAACTTGTCTGGATAAAAATAAACGATAGAAACAACTCGATCACAGCAAAAAAAGAATACAACTGCATAATACTTTCTAATTTCCAGAAAGAGGAGTATACCTTTCATCAGCTATAACAAGCACAGTCAACTGTCAACTGGTCATAGATAGGCCATTTTATGTGATGCAAGCTATTTCCAGGGTTCATGAGAGCTCTTAGCACATAGGAGGGCTCAGAAAAATGCATGTTGATCAAATAAGCAGATGGATGAGCAAATTCATTGAACACCTGCCATTAGAAATTTCCTGAAATCCAAAATTAGAGGGAAGCTTCACTTTCCAGTTTTTCCCAGGCTGAGTTTGATATATTTTTTATTGCATTTTCCAATGCAGAACTTGGAATTTTGTTTTATTCATTCATTCATTTATTCAATAAATATTTATTGATTGACTGCTACTTTAAGACACTGTGTTAGATGCTGAAAATATAATGGTGAGTGGGAAAACTGTTACATCTGCCTTCATGGATCTTAAATGCTAACAGAGGAAAGAGGAGCAGCTAAGTAATTTATGAATTTGTGGTTGTGATGAATTCTACAGAGAAGTATACAGAAGCATATAAAAAGGAAATTGATGTAATCTAGCAGGCCACAAGAAGACAAAAATGGATTCAGAGCCATGAAGAAGCTTGGCACATTGTAGAAGCTGAGTAAAGGTGGCTTGAACACAGAGGTTTAGACTGAGCTGGAACCACACGAAGTGCTCAAGTGGTCAGCTGTCAGATCATGCAGAGCCTTTATGGTCAAGATGAGAATGTTGCATTTTATGCTAATAGCAACAAGGATATGTTAAATCAGGTGCTGACCCAGTGGCTTAGTGGTAAAGTTCATGCATTCCACTTCAGTGGCTCAGGGTTCACCCGTTCAGATCCTGGGTGTGGATCTACACTGTTCATCAAGCCATGCTGTGGTGGCATCCCACACAGAAGAACTAGAATGACTTACAGCTAGAATATGTAACTATGTACTGGGTCTTTGGGGAGAAAACTTAAAGAGGAAGATTGGCAACAGATGTTAGCTCAAAGCCAATCAAAAAAAAATTAAAAATTTTAAAAAGAATATGTTAAAGCAATTAAGCAGCATCATGTCATTCATTAATAAATTAAAACTTTAAAAGAAAATCCACCCTCTTTATATCAACAAAAAAGTAGATGCAAGAGTGCACTCAAGAAGACAAATGGAGAGACCATTGCCATAGTTGAGGCAAAATAATTTGCCCTCAGAAAAGATGGAGCCGTGGACTTAATGTTTGAGTCCCCCCCCGCCCCCCAAAATTCATATATTGAAGTCCTAGCCCCCAGTGTGACAGTATTTGGAGGTGGTGCATTTGGGAGGTGATTAGATCATGAGGGTAGAGCCTTCATGAGTGGGATTTGTGCTCTTATAAAAAAGACCTCAGAAAGCCCTCGCCATTTAACCACGTGAGAACACAGCGAGAAGGCAGCTGTCTATGAACCAGGAAGTAGGCCCCCATCAGACATCAAGCCTACCCGTGCCTTGACTTTGGAGTTCCAGCCTCCAGAACTATGAGAAATAAATTCCTGTTGTTTGTAAGCCAATCAGTCATGGTATTCACATATAGCAGTCTAAACTAAGAAGGAAAAGAGAGAATAATTTAAAGGAAAATTTAGCAGCTAAAGTTGAAAGAATCTGGTCTTAATATGGGAGTGGAATGGAGTTTAAATATGTTTCTCAGATTTTCAGGTGGTTTGTTCAAGGAGACTGGTATCAAGTTCAAGGATCAGGGTTCACTGGGAACTCTCCTTTTTAAGACTAATGGACTGTAATATTTGTGAAAAATTCAAGTAAGCTTGTTGAATAGACCTGGGTACTCAAGCTAAGAGCTTAAGGTAGGTAAATGATTTAAATTGTTAGTCATTGGTGTACAACTGAAGCTGTGGAGGCAAAATAAATTTTCTAAGGAGAAGCAATTGGATTAAAAGGATACAGAATTGAGCTCTGAGTAACCCTGATATTTAAAAGGGGGTGGGGAGCCAAAGGAGCTAGCATAGTATAACTTGATAGCAACTGATCTCAGTAATGATCTTCAATTGCATGTTTTTTTATAGACTTATTTATAGGTCAATTTCATCATAGCCCTGCCTTGAAACTTGATGAGTTTTATTTCAACAACACGTCTTCAATGTTGAATCAAATTTATCCCAGGTACACCTGCAAAATTCACTGTTCAAAAAAATCCTCTTTTCTGAATTTCCAGGCTTCTGAATGCTGAAGTTATAACAAAGAAAAGAGAGAATGACTTTTCAAATAATGTAAGGGCACTTCTTAGTAGATCTGCTATTTCTAAACCAGTGAAGAACAGCATGACCCAGTGGCCTGCTGTGGCATCATCCGGGGCTCTGCTGTAAGGTCTACTGCTGAATTCTGGGCAGAACTTTTCTTGTTTGATCCTCTCTGCAATTAAAGATGGGAACTCTAATGAACAGAATTATTATATGAAATGTTTCTTTTGATATCTTACTGAAATAAGAGGACCAGGAAAATCTTACTCTAGATATATTTTTCATTTATTTATTATTTTAGTTTGTTTTTTTACGGAAACAATTGACATATAACATTATATTATTCTGGAGTGTACAACATAATGATTCAAT